AAGATCTCCTGACCAAAACTTTCCTATCTTCTTTATTTTCTCATCCCCGGGCCTCCCCCTTAAGAACTTGTCACTGAAGAACCACCTGCTGGTCCAGGCCAGGTCACGCTTTCTTCTGTAAGTTGCCTTACTCATGATGCTTTATCACTGTAATAGAAAAATAACCAATACAGTTATTTTCCTCCCTCTCTTCCTAAGTATTGTGCTCCTTCTTCCCCAGATAATGTCCTGACCATTCCTGTTACATTTTTATTGCTGTAATAGAACACGGCCAAGGAATTTAGTAAATGAAAGAGTTTATTTGTGCACCTGGTTTCACAGGATTAAGTTCATGACATCAGAGCCAAGGAGGTAGGAAAGGCAGCTGGAACAATCTATTGAAATCTCCTATCCTGAAGCCCAAGCAGGAATCCTTGAGAGTAAATTCAAAATGTCAAGAATCTTCAAACTCTTAAAGCTTGCCTCCAATGACATACCTTCTCCAACAAGACCACACTTCCTAAACTTCCCAAAAAGCATGACCAACTAAGGACCAAATATTCAGATTCCAGGATAACAGGGGATATCTTAATCAAACCACAAAATTACAAACATTTTGCTAAGTGGACATATTGTCAAACTGCCTTTCAAATATTTATCTTTATGTCCATAGATTAGTACTGTCCTCAGCCTTCATTAAAGAAGCATCTCTGTGCAGTGACTAGTTGTTAATGTAGATTCATACTTGGTCAAGGTGCTAAGAAAAGTGAGTGTTGAGTACTCAGCATTAAAGGAGACACCAACATTTCACCTCCCAAAATTCAGTACACATCACTTAAAAAAGACAAAAGAATATGAGTTTAACTGTAGAAAAATGGGCCATAGAGTAGTGTCTTGAGGGCATTACATGGTTATGGCACTCAAATTCACAGGAGCTGTGGCTGCCTGTATAGTTTCTACATAATACTGGGCCAGAAAACATACAGTCATAGGTGCATAGGGACTCAGAGGCTTGGAGGGCCTCACTTTGACCAGGGGGGGCCAATGGCAGTTGAGGATTAAAGGAGGGGGGCAAGCAGAGACAAGACATCATTGTTTTCAGTGATATAGCCACTCAAGTTCCAGTGGAAAGCTGTCCTGTTAGGTGATTTTGGTTTGGTTTGGTTTGGTTCGGTTTTTGTTTGTTTGGTTGGCTGGTTGGTTGGTTGGTTGGTTGATTGGTTGCCTGGTTAGTTTTTTTTTTTTTTTTTTTTTTTTTTTTTTTGTCAACTTCACATAATCTAGAGCTAATGGAAAACAGAGAATCATAGAAGAAAACACTTCTAACTGACCTATAGGCAAGCATGTGGGTTATTTTCTTAACTGAAAATTGTGGTGTTGAGGGTCCAGCCCACTATGGAGGATGTCACCACTGTGGTTTGAGGTATATAAGAAAGCAGGCTCATCAAGCCAGTAGAGTGAGCAAGTGAGCAGCAATCTTCCAAGCATCTACTTTAGTTCTTGCCTCCAGGTTTCTGCCTTGCACTCCTTCCCTGACTTGCATCAGTGGTAGACTATGACCTAAGAAGTGTAAGATGAAATGAACACTTTGTGAGTTATTTTTAGATTTTTATCACAGCAAACAGAAATTCTGAGGAAGGTCATAGCTTCACACCCATTCCCAGGTGAGTGACCCTAGTTAAACCAAGAAGATCACAAAGTAAAAATAAATACCTGAAGGTGGTATGGAGACTTGATGAAAGGGGGAGATGTTGGGGTAAGAGAATAAGAGAGGTCAGACAGAACAGTGTGACTAGAGTATATTATATAATGTTTGAATTTGTCAAAGAACTGGTCAATTTAATAAAAAAGCACATTTAACAGAGTTTGCACAAGAAAGCCTAACCTGTTCTAATAACTCCCAAAGCCCAGAAAAATCTAAGAGAAAAGCCTCAATTTTTTACATAATGGCCAGGGGTATCTAACCTTTTTTTTCTACTCTGACTTACATCCTCCCCTGGAAGTGTGTCTTTTTCTAATAAACTGTTCCTGTTCCCTACTATCTATTATCTCTGGTCAGCTCCTTTTTCTGGGAGACAGGAACCCAGATTCTTCCTGAGGTGTCTACTTCCTTCTTTATAGGCCAATATCACCAAGAAGTGTAAAGAGTAGTAGGGGAATCTACTTCAAGAACAGTGAAAAACAACCTGGGATCACTGCTCTTTTCAAATGCAAGAGCCAAGAACTCAACCAAAAATATAATGACCTAGGCTCCAGCAATTTTCTAAGCTGCATTCTAAGTCAGCTCTATACCTGGACATCTCATTCCAGCAATTTCACCCATTACCTCTAGAAGGCCCCTTGACCTACCATCACTTTCCTTACTAAATACTCTTTCATAAGTGCTTGCTTCACTTGCTTCTTATTTTGGATTCACTACTATGAGACCATATTCTATCTTTATATCTGCCAGATGCAAGGTTACAGGTCACAAACCACCAGAATTTAAGGGAAACAGTTCCTCAATTTCCTAAGACAAAACAAACACTTTCATGTATTAACAGACATCACAAAGGCCATTTACATTCCTTTAGAGCACAATTTAATTTCTTCTCTAATCTCAAAATTATTGTGGATTGTGAAGTTTAAACCTAAAAATCACTTAATATTTTGCCTAAATGTAAAACATTTGCAAATGTAAAATCACTAAATATTTGCTAAAATGTAAAAGTAGTTAGCACTACCAAACTTGTATCTAGTATATTTTAATTTTAAACTGGGCGGGTGTACCCTAAGACAGCCATGAGGCCATACACCATCAAACAAGATAGAGTATCAGTTTGGGAACAAGCTAGAATGCCACAGCTTCCTGTACATTTCATTATTCCTGCAGAAGAAAACAGTATTTTATATCAAATCAACCCCACTATATCACATAGTAAAATGAACAAGTACCATTTTTCTTAAAGATTAGAAAATTCAAGACTTTGGGGCCAGAGAGATGGCTCAGCAGATGAGAGCACTGGCTGCTCTTCCAGAGGAATTGGGTTTGGCTCCAAGCACCCATATTAGGAAGCTCACAACTATCTCTAATACACCTTAAGTCTCTGAGGTAACCTGCACATACCCACAAACACATAGAAATAAGTAAAAATAAAATAAACCTTTTTTAAAAAAAATTCTGAAGATAGCAAAGAAAATTCTCATCTATAGCAGTAAAATATTTGTGGTTTCCTGCAAATAGCCCACCAATATACATATATAAAGAAATGTAACCCACATACTGTATAAGCTTGTTATCCTTCCTTTCCCTTTGCCCCAAGGTTGTGGAACAATACCTAGGATAGTAGTAGGTATCTGTGGTGTATTCAATAAAGTTTGAAGGATGAATTTGCTTATGTTAATGAATCAGAATATCAATAACAAAATGTTAAGCAGTTTCTGTTTTGTTGTGTGTGTGTGTGTGTTTTTTTTAATCAAGTGTGGATGGAAGAAAAAAAAAAAAACGTGAACAACTGTAAGAGGAAGTGGAGTGCCAGTTCTCTAACTTACCAAAACAGTTTATTGCTGCCATGGCAACAATCAGGCGGCTCAACTAAGCTTGGTTCTTTTTCACTGGAACAAAACAGAAAGGCAAACATTGTACTTGTTAACCTTCCATAAGAAGGTTAGGACAGAAGTCTATCAGGTGACACTGATACCTTTAATAACCTCTGACAGCCTTTGGAAAGATGTGGTGATAATCATCCACTACTTATGTTAAGTCCTGGTTTGTCCACTGATTCTGGAAAAATCAATATATTGACTGAGAGGTTAAGTGTCAAACGTCTGCAGCTGAAATCTAATAAGGAAAAGGGGAGAAGGCGCAAACTCACAACAGTATCTCTCCCTATTTCATTCTTAAATCTTATTTAAAAAAATAATAATAACTAGATGTGCTGGAAAAAAACAGCTCAAAGAAAAGCCATAGCCTAGAGCAACAGTGTTAAAATTTTCCTACTTCCCTGGAAACACCATAGGGTTTGTTTTTCCCCCACGTGTATGAAAGGGATTAGACCTCACACCCACTTTCTCAACATAATGTCACCGTGAGTCACTCAACCTAAGTCACAAAATTCCCTTATCCAACTGCAGGTAGAAACCAGGATGACAAAGCATGTGCTCTGGAGCAATCTAAAGGAGCCTGACACCTCCCGAGACAGTTTCCCTTCTCTGAGACCAAAAGTCTTACATATAGAAATTGCCAATTAAAATGAAGCTTTTCAGGTCTTCATAAAAACAGCCAGTGCTCCACAAAATTGTAGCTAAATTACAACCACAAAAGCAGAAAAACTTCCAGAGAAAAGCAGAAATGCAGCGACAGTAGATAAAAGTCTGATACTAAAATCGCCCTTGTTATCCCCCTCCAATTAAGACTAAAGTTAATAACTTGACAATAAGTATTTCTTATCCTATCTGTAATGTCGGGAAATATATGGTGTGACTATGTCATTTTATTTACTGAATAAAAACAAGTTTTTCAGCATAGAAGACCTGGAATCAATTTTCTGTCTTTCATTAACTGGGAAAGACCCTGGAGGCTCCTGAATTCCAATTCCTAGGATTCTTTCTCATTCAGTCAAAAACAGACAAACACACTTCCCAAGGTAACCTTAAATAAAATAAGTGATGCAGGGCACATCAATGAGCATGTGTACCCAGATATACTGCAGCTTCCTTTTCTGTTTCAGCAAAAAACAAACACAGAACTATGACATAAGATGCCAATGCGGCACGGAAGCAGCAATAGGTGACTGGACAGGCCACAGTGAGCCACCAAGACTGTGCCAGCCCTGGGCCACTCCAGAGGGAGGCTACAGGTGTCAGTCACCACAGTCCTCGCAGGAAGTGCTCAAACCTCACTTGGCCAACTCCTTCCCTACCAGTAACTCCAGATCTCTTCTGCAAAAGTCACCCCAGTTGTTCAGTAGAGAAAAAGCCGCTCCCAGATTGGGTATCCCAGCTGCACAGCGCATGCCTCCGGAGATCGCCGGACCACGCACCTGGGAATGAGTTGAGCCTCGTCCCCGAGGCGCGCATGGAAGTCCCGCCACGCCGGGCCCAGGCTCGCTGGCTCTGCTTCCTCCCAGGTGCCCTGGGCACTGTCCCGGCCGAAGGCTCCTCGGAAGCCCTGCGCGAACTCCGGGAAGGTGATGGCACCATCGCGATCGGTGTCGAGCCCCAGGAACACTGCCTCCGCTTCAGCCTCAGCCACGTGTAGCTCCGCACACAGCGCGCCGAACTCCGCACGCTCCAGGCGCCCGGACCCTTTAGTGTCATAGGCGGCGAAGACCGAGTGCAGCCGCGCCAGCTCCTCGGGGTCCACGTCCACCTCCATGGTGCCGCTGGCTACCGCGGAGCTCCCGGGTCCAGGGCTCGGCCAATGGAGCAGGTCCAGCCGGTTCTGCCACCTATCCACCTGCCAAGGGCGGGAATGTCCGGATGAGGCGGAGCGCAAGCCGAATGAAGCGCTTGTCGCCAGCTGCAGCCGCCCGACTGCTGCCCTGAGCCACCGAGTGCCTCTTGGCACCTCCCCGCGGTTAGGCTCCACCCTACGGTGGAGCAGTGGAGCAAAGAGGCAGCTTCGCTCCCAGGCTTTCATTTGCAGCAGCTGGAGGGGATTTCTGTTAGGCTTTGGGAGAGTGAGCAGGAACTATGGGACTCTGTCCGGATCTTAAAGACCTGTAATTACTCAAATTATCCCTTTCTGCACCCTAGATATGGGAGGTGCGGGCCTGCAAATGGAGTGCTAACAAGATGACAAAAGGGGAAAAGGTGGGTAGGGATAAGAGGCCAAATTGGCTAAACTTGTTGGGACTGTGTTCTCTCTTAGTCCAGACATGTGATAACTTTGCCTAATTACAACTTTACTTTTTAAAAATCAAGGAAAAAAGTTCCCAAAAACCTCTAATTTTACTTAATTGGCATAGTCACATTTGTCTCCCATGTGCCTAAACTGAAACACTTTTTGTCACTCTGTGACTCCTTGGCTTTAGAGAAAGCTAATACCAAAATCGCTTAGAGATAGCTTTTTCTTTTTCTTTTTTTTTCCCTCCCTTTTGGCTTTTCGAGAGTTTCGCTGTTAACACTGGAACTCACTTTGTAGCTTTGTAGACCAGGTGGCCTCAAACACACAAAGACCCATCTTCCTCTGCCTCAGGGGAGTTCTGGGATTAAGGGCATGGACCAGCACTCCCAGCTTCTTTTTAATTTATTATTGAAGAATATTTTATATAAAGTATTTTTATCATGTTTTCTCCTACCTCAGCTTTTCTCCTCCACACCCAACTTTATTCTCTCTCTCTCTCTGTCTCTCTCACTCTCTGTCTGCTCTCTCTTTGTGTGTGTGTGTGTTCGAAGAAACAAAACAACCAAACAAAACATCCAAACAAAGAAACAAAAAATAGTAAGATTAAAAAAAAAACTAAAGCACAAAAAAAAATTGCTTGTTTTATGCTGAACAAATGCTCCTGGGGATGTGGCCTGTGTTAGAGTGTGGTGGAGAGATGCAATGACACTCCATTGGAGCACACTGATTTTCCACCAGCTAGCAATTGCAATTGCATATGGTTTCTTGACTGGGGATGGGACTTTGCATCCACTTCCCCTTTACAGTCTTGTGATTTTTGTCTGGCATGAACATGTACAGACATTGTGTGTTCTGCCATCATCACTTTAGTTCTTCTGTATATCTGTCCTATTGTGTCTGGGACACACTGTGGCCTTGGAGTCAGTTATCCACTACTCCTGGCACTTAACAATGTTTGTGCCACCTCTTGCCCATAGACCTCCCTGAAAGCCTGAGGAGAGGGATTTGATAATGGCATCCCATCTAGGGCTGAATGTTCCACAGAATCACTCTCTGGGGACTGAGCAAGGCACTGATCTCTAAGTATAACAATGTATCATTGGGAGTCATTGTATTGCTAGGTCCTTTAGCAGAGTAATTGGGAGTTTTCCCCTAAGCCCATGATCTGTCTAGGTGTAGGATCTAGGCCACTGTAGCAGTGTCAGATATGGGATCCATCTCATGAAGTGGTCCTTAAATCCAATCAAAAGGTGGTGGCTGGTTACTCTCCTAATGATTGAGCCAGGACTATAAGGACTGTTAAAAGTCACAGGGTACACACCACAGTCTTTAAACAAGGAGCAGAACCATTTGGGCTTTGTTGTCTTTTCTTTAAACAAAACATATGGATACATATCCCTTTGGTTTTAAACATTTTTTACTGACAATGTTGCTTCCTTGACACTGATTCCTTTATGTATCCCATCTTTAAAACTGTTCCATTTCATTCTTGCCCAGACCAGCAGTTACTCAAGCCTCTAATGCCAACACCAGAAATTCTGCAACAGCAGGATTTCCATAAGTTCAGGGCAAGTTTTGGCTGAAGACCAACACTGCACTCCCTTTTAAATTAGTTCATACACCTTTCCACTCCAACCTTCACATTTTTGCTCTTGCTGTCCTCTTAGCTAAAAATGATGAGCAATAACCTTGACATTATCAAACTATTTGTCCTTTGCCTTTAAACTCTTCTTCAATCAAGTGCTCAAGGCAAAGGCAGAAAGCAGTCAGACGTTTTTGCCAGAATACTACACATATGGCTCTTAGCTCAGTTCCAGTAGAATCTGATTCCTCTGAAACATCATGAGATGGCCTTCCACTGGCTGTGGTTCTCTTGGCTGTCTAGTTTTCTAACCTTTCACCAGAATATCCATTAAGCTCTACTCAGAGTATTCAAGGGCTTTTTCAGTCCAGACTTCCAAATTCTTCCATTTTTCAACTCAGAAGCCATTTTCAAAGCCCTGTGAACTTTGTCACAGCAACATTACCAATTTTCTATATTAGTTACTTGCTATTTTCCCTGTTGAATGACTTCTGCTGGGGAGATATAACACACTCATTTACTCACCCCAGATAGAAAGCCCATAACAGACTAAAATATTGATACCACCAAAGTTCAACTTGGTGAACCAGTAAATTTTATTGGGGTTATTTACAGGAATATGGGTGTGGTGGTTTGAAAAAAAAATGGTCCCCAAAGGGAGTGGTAACATCAAGAGGTGTGTGACTTTGTGGGGAGTAGGTGTGCCCTTGTTGGAGGAAGTCTGTCACTGTGAGGGAGGACTTTGATATCACCTATGTTCAAGCTGTGCTCAATGTGTCACACAGTAGCTTCTGCTGCTTTCAGATCAAGATGTAGAACTCAGCTCCTTCTCCAGCATAATATCTGGCTGCATGGCACCCCGAATGATAATGGACTAAATCTCTAAAGTGTAGCCTAGCCCCAATTAAATGCTGTCTAACAGCAATAGCACCCCTAACTAAGACAATGGATGAGGGATTACTTACAAGAGCAGAAAAGGCTCAAAGTCAGTTTTATCAACAAAGCCCACTCCAGCACTAGTGACAGCTCACCAAAGTTGGAAATCTAGATCACATTGAAAAGCCTACAGCTGTCATCTGGTTGGAGAGTATCCCAATCAGGTAGTTCGGCTATCTACACCTCCTTCTGGAGGCTTGGCTAGTGTCTGCTTCTCCTTTACTGCCTAACTTACCTGACAATGATGCTTAGCAATCTTTATTGTTTACTTTTGGGACGGAGGTTCCTAGCAAATCTGACCAGTTTCAGAAATGTCCCAGTGTTATTTTTGAGTTGCTTTCTTTCTGTTTTAAGGAGCTTCCCTGCAGGATGCAATGTTTCTATCTCAGAGAAAACTGTTACACAGCATTGCCACAACAGAATGCCTTACACAATCTACTTAAAGAAGGAAGGATTTATCACAGTTTACAGGTCCAAGGGACACAGACTATCATGGTAGAGACAGAACATGGGGCAGCTGCTCATACTGCCTTTGCAGTCAGGATGCAAGGACACCCATATTTAAAGAGGATATTCTCACCTCGATCAATCTAACCTAGATAATCCCTCACCAGATACTACCACAGGCTTGTCTCTTCAGGAATCTAGATTCAGTCAAGTTGTCAATGTTAATGATCACACTCAGCATTTCACTTTTTTGCTCAGGGTGGATTAATTTATATTGATCACTGGAGTTTTGAAAACATGGGCATTGTAGTGAGTTCTGCCTGTCACATTCCTTCTGGGCAAAGGCCATTAAACATCAAGCCCAATGCTGAACTTCTTAGAGAGTCCTCTTCCTTAAATGGCACACACTCACAGGGATTAATCCTCCTTGAATGGTAGACTGGCTATGTTCACACTTATAACTGCCTGGGATGTAAGAACTATATAGCCCTGCACAGATGTAGCTAGTGGATTGTGATAGCCATTCTAACAGAAATTTTGTCTTAGCAGCTTCATAACTAACTCAATATAGTGATGTGTGATCTGGAGCCTATTACACCAGTTGACTTTATAATTACTACAATGGGTTTCAGCATAAGCACTGATTTCATGAGCTTTCCTGTTTATTCTAAAGATTGATTTTTCCATGTAATATAAAAACTGACTTGGCTTAGTAATACCTTTAAAGTTGTACACCAAAGATGATTAAACTGAATCTTTGTAACTCAACTTCATGCAGTTAGACAGAAGTGGATATGTTTTCAAGACAAATGAGTTGTTTTTACACTACTTAGATTGAAATGTTTTCCTAAAGATTGTTCGGACTTCATGATTAGCACCCAGTATTCCCTGTCTTCTTTCATCTGTCTTCCTTTCCCCCCAGCCTTTTTCATTACAAAGTCATCACAAAACACATATATTACAAATGCCATCTGTGAATATCTTATTTCCACTAGTAGTAACTTATTCCAGAACAGCTAGATGAGTTTTTTGTTTTGTTTTTACCCATTTCCTAGTAACATAGCCAATAAGTAGTCATTTTAAACAGTAGCCATTTATTTGTGCATAAATTCTTTTGTTACCCATTTGGACAGTGTACCACAAGGTGGTTTTAGTGTTTGTTGTCTCTGGTCATTTACCAAGATTCTTTAATGTGGAGAGAGGTGCTGGGTGGTGGCTAGCCCATGCCTTTGAGGACTTCCACTGGCTGTTTCACATGGTAGCAGTATTCCAAGACAGTTAACTCCCTGTGCATAGTGATTTAAAAAAAAATCAGCCTATATCATAGTTGGTGTTGTTGCATAAACCAGAACAAGTCCTGTAAGAAATACTTAAGAATGAATGATTGGAAAAACCGAAGCAAGAAAAATCGCGGAGCAATCAGCCCTAAGGAGAAAGCCTGGGGTCATGCATTGTCATAAACTACCTTTTACATAATAATGACAACAAAATCAAGTATGAACTATTTTGTCAACCACAAAATACCAACATTCCTATGGTGACACATAACATTGATGCCTATTACATCTTTCTATAATTATCATTGTCTCTT